ATTATTACATAATGAAAAATCTGTTTTCCGACATATCCGTGTGATAAACGGTGTGTGAACATAGCGCCCAAAAGTTTCACTGTTTCACTGTTTTTCTCTCGATATTTAAAAATTTTTTGAAAATAAAAAAAAAAATTAAATCAAAAAAAATTGGACATCGGCCATATTGTTTCGATTAACAACAACAACGAGAAATAGCCAATGGTCCATCTCTCTCTCTCTCTCTCTGGCTACTTCTGCCATGAAGAACAAATTGAAGAAAATCTTTTTCTCTTTCTTTCACTGCTTTTTTCGGGTATTTTTTTCTCAATTCAAAAAAAAGAAAAGAAAGGAAAAATTCTTATGTGAAGATGCATCATCGTACAGGTGATGCATCTTTTTNTCTCTCTCTCTCTCTCTGGCTACTCTGCCATGGAGAACAAATTGAAGAAAATCTTTTTCTCTTTCTTTCACTGCTTTTTTCGGGTATTTTTTTCTCAATTCAAAAAAAGAAAAGAAAGGAAAAATTCTTATGTGAAGATGCATCATCGTACAGGTGATGCATCTTTTTCTGACTCTTAAAATTTTCAATTTCGTTCTTCATTCGTTGTTCATTGTTCGCTGTTCTGTTCTAGGTTTGGTCCAACCAACCAAATATTCATTCATTTTTATACATATATAAAAACAGACAAACAAAAACATTCAATTTTTTTTTGGGATTTCATTTTTCACTTTCACCCGAAACGTTTTTGTTATTTTTCGAAAAAAAAATTCAAATTTTTCGCTTAAGGTTCGGCTTTGATGCTTGATGAAATTTTTTTTTTGTTTGTTTGACCAGTGAAAAACTCATAAATTTTTCCACATTTCGGAAATTAAATTGTTAATTTCCCATCACCCATAGCCGCCGACGACGATGTGATATCTGTTAATTCGTTGTTAATGGTTGGTTTGGTTGTTTGTTTCCCTGATTTGTTTTTCTTCGTATATTAAATGTGTGAAAAAATTTCCAAAAAAAAAGTTTCCTGATTCATCTTCCGAATCTTCTTTTGTTTTTTTTTTTGTTTGTCTGGAAACTCATATTTGTTTGTGAAATTTCTTTTCTGTATCGATAATAAAAATTAATCAAATAACACGTTGTTTATGAAAAGCCCAACAATATCCGCCTGTTATACATTGATTAAAAACAGACGACAAAATCATTATTGAACGACATTTATGAATGACTAAAATATGATAATTACAAAATTATTATTTAAAAATATGGCCAAAATTAGGCAAATATTATTATTAGATTTACGAAATCATCGTAAATCTTGGTCAACATTACAAATGCAAATTTTTTCATTATTATTAATAATATTTATCCATTTTATATCGATGACCGTTGGTCAGCAATCACAATTATTACAGCAGCAGCAAGTATATCCATTTTCATCAAGTTTTTATCATCATCCACATCATCAATATGTACCACATCATCATCATCAATTATTATCATCAACAAAACGCTCACCACAATTAGTGCCATCATCATCCACATCATCATTATCATCACCATCAACAAACATGGTAAAAACAACTAAAAATATTGTTGGAACGATGATCATACCATCATCATCATCATCATCAACGTCATCAAATGGAATGATGACATCAACAACATCAGTATTACAATCAAAATATTATCAACTACAACAACAACAACAACCGCAACAACAACAACAACAACAACAAATTCAATCAATATCGACTATATCAACATTACAACCAAAATTAAAATTACCAAAATCAAAAAAACAACAATCAAAACAATCGAAATCATCGATACCATCGATTAAGAAAAAACCAATACTACCGGAATTATCACCACAAGCTGGTTGGATACCATCAAAAACTATTTCATTCGATAGTGTTAGGATACCTAAATTGTAAGTTTTGCTTGATTTTTAACCTCGATTTTTGCATTTTTCCACCAACATTCAAAACATTCATTTTTTGATATGATAATGAGCGATGTGAATGTAAAAAGTCCAGAAGAAAGGAAAGAAGATTTTTGGTGAAAACAAAGTAAACATCATGTGCGTTACAATAATAACCCATATGATTATTTATCCGTTGTTTGATAAGGATAATTGTCTTGTTGTAGGTGGATTTTTTGTTTGTTTGTTTGTTTGTTTGTTGAAACTAAGTTGAAAGAATTTCTACTTTGTTCATGGATGTGTTGAAAGATACTGTTTTTGTTTGTTTTTGTTTTTTTCCTTCTTAAACAAAAACAAAGACAAACAATTAAAAAGTTTTAATTTTTAAAATTTTTTCAACAACAAAAAAACAGGTTGAAAAACTTTGTTGATCATATTTGGATAACTATCCTGTGTGATGTTCAGTTTTTGGTTTGTAATTAATGTTTAGATTTAAAAAAACGGGTCGAAAAACGTTTATCTATCCCCATGTAGCAATATATCCATCACATCCTTTCTCTTTCATTTCACTCTCTCTTTCTCTCTCTCTCTCTCTCTCTCTCTCTCTCTCTCTCTCTC